ATTGTCTCGTCAGATAGTTCAGACTCCCATATATCTATAGATGGCATATATATAGCCGGACTATTGCTTAGTGCGGCGTTACACCATTCGTAACTACTCGCCTCTTTCCGTGGCCTTGTCGGAATGACACGAGTAGTTACGAATGACGCTAAACAACAAACAAAACATTCGTCACCACTCGCCTCTTTCCGTAACCTCCAAGAAGATATTCGGCTTGTCCCCGAATAATACGAGTGGGTCACGAATTCAAACAAAACTGATTGAATCCAACGATTTGTCCATTGGACTAAACGGAATTTTTTCGTGACAATAAACGCTGTAATTTAGACAGCTTCAGTGTTGAACGTACGTTCCGTAACAGTGCCCGGGCGCATGTAGTATTACTTACGATAATCCTTCCAACCAACCATGTATGGTATTACTTACGATAATCCCTTCAACCAACCATGTATTAGTGAATGATTTACATGAATGTGTTTATGTGGCCTGAATTACACGTGAACGTTCCGAGCTAGACTAACGGTTAGTCTCTGAATGTATATAATTTTGACATTGAAACAAACAATTCCTATTAAATTGAAAAGGAGTCCCAGTGTGGGATGGGAGATTCAGAACCTGAGGAAATCTAGACTTGCTTCATTTAGGGCTTTAGCCTTGCAGAAAGGGCTGATTAGAAGGGAAAATAGTGTGGTTCAAGAACTGTGAGACAGACTAGTGCCGAGCGAGTGAAGTCAGTTACCCGAATTACAATATTTTTTTCCTATTTAGCCCCTCTTTAAATATTTCATAGAAGGTATTGGTTCACAGGTTTGTATAAAAGTCAGAATTTAAAATATAACTAATCGTTTCCGCGATGTGTCCACTTCCAAACAGAAACAATATGTCAACCTAGACGTCTGTGCTTAAAGGAACTGATCGTGAAACAAATAAGTAAGGAATATTGAACAGTTAACAATTGTGTTAGTTAGATTTCAAGATCAATAGCTCTACTTTCACAGTAACAACAATAACTGTCCTTTGCAAACAATACAGCGTAACGGGCTAAGGGACCGTTCATAATTTATGACTAGGGGTGATGATGATTTTAAGGGGTCACCCATTTTGTTCTGGGGAGCAGTCATAGAGGGGTCAGCAATCACTTTGTACACACGTACTAGGGAAGGGGGTGTCATTGATATTTGTACATGACATGCTGGGGTTGTCACTTTGTACATAAATTTTAGATATATGGGGATCATTCACATTCTACATGCTGGGATACTCCATAGAAATCATCATCACCACACACACACACACACACACACACACACACACACACACACACACACAAGAATTTGATTGCAAACAAATACGAGAGATAGTTACATGAAACGTCGCACATGAACTTGATAACATCTATTTCTGGACAGTAACGACCGACGTCTTCCACTTACAGGAACCCCCTGCCATGGAGCTGCTCCAAAGCATCATCAACAACGATATCTATTTTCGAGTAAAGAAAGTGCATGCAGAGAATTCTTCTTTGATGAAGAAGCGTTTTGAGGCGTAACTTTTAATTTCAGATACTAAGGGATCAGTTGGGTAGCCAATAGCCTGTCTCACAGTCCATGAACCACATTATTTTCCCTACTGCCAAGCCCTCCCTGCAATGCTAAAGCCCTGAATGAAGCAAGTCTAGATTTCCCCAGGTTCTGAATTTCCCATCTCACTGGGGGTCCTGTTCAATTTAAATGTGTTTATTTGCTAATATCATATATATATATATATTCAGGGACTAAGCGTTAGTCTAGGTAGCCAAGTGCACAAACCGTTCGCCTGTCACGCCGAAGACCTAGGATCGATTCCGCAAATAAATAAGATGAATAAGATAACTAGTTGGGACACGTCCTGTTACTTCATGTTGAGACGCGCGAGTATGTTGTCTACATTGCAGTTTTACGACAGGCGGCCGCATCACTTGTGTTTGTCTTGATTTGACAAACATAGCAATAAGAAACATACTTTCTAAAGTTTAATTCATGTTTCTTGTTTACGAAGATCGATTTATCTCCCGAGCCCATGGACAATCGTGTTGATATTTATAATGAAATGGATCGCCTGTGTTCAATGTTATAACGTTACATATATGTTGAGTCTGCCCCTGTTGAATGTTATAAAAGTGTATGTTGAATGCGCCTGTGTTCAATGTTATAAAAGTATATGTTGAATGTGCATGTGTTCAATGTTATAAAAGTATATGTTGAATGTGCATGTCCCTCAATGTTATAAAAATTGATGTTGGATGACAACCATTATTGCAATGTTATAAAAGTATATGCCGGATGCGCCTGTGTTCAATGTTATAAAAGTTGACATGTGTACCTCAATAATAGTTGTGTTATAAAAGCTACACATGTTGAATGCGCATGTGTTCAATGTTATAAAAGTATATGTTGAATTCTTCCATGTGTTAACGGTTATCAAACGTATATGTTGAATACACCCTGTAACAGACAATGTTATACAAATTATATGTTAAAATGTGCCTGTGTTCAATGTTATTAAACATATATTTACATAGGGCCATTCCATACGGAATTATGAGAGACTAAAATTGTTAAAAATTGCATGTAAATGTATATATGAATGCGCCTGTGTTCAATGTTATAAAAGTTATATAATACGGATTTGCTCCTTGACTTCAATGTTATTTAGCTATGTGATATTGCTATTGGACAGGTGTTATAAGTTTTTGTATATCAGTAAGATTACTAAAATTATACAGGTTATCACAAGTATTTAAAAGACTAAAACGTTCATGAGATAAACGGACAATTTTCAAACGTACTTGACTACACCCTGTTAACACGTTACAGTCGGACAACTAGTCTGTCTCACAGTCCCTGAACCGCATTACATATATTCAGAGACTAGGCGTTAGTCTAGTCTGACAATGTGTTATCAACACTAATGAACGCTCATAGAGCAACGCTATCTCAACGGCATTCAGTCATTGTGTGGATATTGGGAGGAATGTGGCTATCTACTTAGGCGTCACACATTCATTGGGACAGATTCACGCCTTTCTCATCCTGTTATGCTAGTATATGAATATATTGATTGTAACCAAACTACAGTAGATGTTGTTGTAGAGCAATTAACCATCCGTCTGAAGAACCTTTGTGTTCAAAGATACTGTTATTTGTTATGTGACTGTCAGCGTAAACGTGAAGTATCACGGTTTTAATATAGCTGTGCTTGCATCGCCGGTGTTAGACTAACAACTGGTCTGACTTTCTTCATTTTCAGAAACTGTGGAAATCTTTCTTGAATTTGTTTCAGGTTCTGCATGACAGACTATCCTGGTGTGTAAAATAATGTATAAACATCATACGAATTGACTTTCACTTTGCTTTTGTTTTGTTTGTTGGATGTGTAACGCAGCTCTCAACAATACGCCGTCGGTCTGTAAATAATAGAGTCTGGTTAAGACAATCCAGTGATCAACAGCATGATCTACGCAGTTGGGATACAATGACATGTGTCAACCAAGTCAGCGAGCCTTACAACCTGATCCCGTTAGTCGCCTTTTACGACAAGCATGGGTTACCGAGGGCCAATTCTAACCCGGATCGTCACCGGAGACAAGCATGGAATGCTGAAGACCAAATCTAATCCGGATCTTCACGGGTCACTTTCACTCTGTGTGAGTATATTGGAGTATGAATTCCATATGAAGATGACCGTGCGTAATATAAACGTCGTCTCAAGCCCACTCCAAGAGGTTCATATTTCAATGAATTCACATAAAGTGAAAGTCAGTTCATAAATGAAGTTATATGTTCAGTGTGCTTGTACATTGTTTTAAAATTTACAGGTAAGAACGCTCATGTTAATAAGTAGTATATATGGGAAGACGTGTTTGAGTGGTTTGTTTCACTTCCAGCGGAGGTGGTGGTGTAGTTTTGTATTTAAAGCGTTCGCTCGTCACGCCGAAGACCGGGTTCGATTCCACACATGGGTACAAAGTGTGAAGCCCATTTCTGGTGTCCCCGAAGAGATATTGCTGGATTATTGCTGAAAGCGGCGTAAAACTAAACTCACTCACTCATCCACTCACTTTTAGTGACCTCCAAATATGGGTTTTCGATTCCTTTGCTTTGTTTACTATATGTTAAATGCACAGAAATAATATGTCGCTAACTACTTGTTACTACGAAACAAAATTCCTGCCTTTAACAAGCACGCACTTTTCCTCAAAACAACTCAACGTTGCTATAGGTTTTGATCTTTTGTGGGTCCTAAAATATTTGTCTTGAATGTATAACCAGTATCAATCTTACAGCCTTTGCTCATCTGACTGTTTGTTGTTTAACGCCGCACTCAGCAATATTCCAGCTATATGGCAGCGGTCTGTAAATAATCGAGTCTGGACCAAAAACGGCATGAGCATCGATACGATACTGGGATACGATGACATGTGTCAACCAAGTCAGCGAGCCTGAGCACCCGATCCCGTTAGTCGGCTCTTACGACTAGCATGGGTTACTGAAGATCAATTCTAGCCAGGATCTTCACGGGTGAGCCAATTCTAGCCCGGATCTTCACGGGTGACAAGCATGGGTTGCTGAAGATCAATTCTAGCCAGGATCTCCGCGGGTTCTCATCTGACTGAGTAAGGACTTAGTAATGAGACATGTGATTGTTCAAAATTTTAACTCGAGCACGATTCTTCAAATGGCACAATGTGTAATGTCCCTTAAGAGTGAGCCTACCAGTCTCCCATCCAGTGATAAAGAGGGATATTATCTAACACGGTGCAGCCATTATCATTTACTCACTAGCCGTGCTTCACATATACCAGCAAAATGAAACCATCTACGCTAAGATCGACAGTTTGATATTCCGAGCATAATTAAGTACGACCTTTGACAGAAACTGGCAACTACGTTCAATAGGCCTACCCACAGCAGCAAATAGCTAGCACAGGTAACTGTAGTAACATAAGTAGACCCACTCACCTACTGCTTTCATGTACCCGTCCAGGTTGTCCTGGGAATGAAAATTCCATGTCCCGACTAGTGCTGACATTGCTCTGATACAACTAGCTAAATGTGCGTCCACCGAGTGTACAAACTGTCGTCTGCTGCAACCTTCTATATGGTGGGATGCGCGTCACGTGACCCCTGCTGGCGTTCATGCATTATGGCGTCTGCTCGCCGGGACCACAAAAGATGCAGCAGAACGCTTCCTCGGATGTTGTACACGGTTCTACTAACCACGTGATTAATGATTGAAGGGTTGTTTTTGAATGATGAAGAAACTGGCTGTTTGAAAAGAAGGTTCGATGATGGCAGTCAAGATGAACGCGATAACGATATCGGAGCTCGACCATAAGATAACACGAATACCATAGAGATTAGGTGTAAGTAATATCTAGAGATCATAAATAGCAGGAGATATTTATTCATGGAAAAATTGCACACAGGAATCAATTGTGTAGACTCGAGGGGGAGTCAAACTCGGACTTTACGATTGGCGAGCGACGGGATGTACCACTCAACTAACACTTTAGGTTCAAGTACAATTTTCGCAGAATTTGAAACACAAGTAATCGAACTCTGAACTTTTGCGTGACTGGCGAACGCACCAATAACTTGATACTAATGAAAGCCTTCAGGCATTAATATAATACTTTTTAATATCTGAAACCAAATGACAATCATACGTACGGTATAACCTGTAAATACGAGGAACGATTCTTTTCAGTTTCGTGGACATATACAATATTCATGTTTTCAGATACCATTCATCGAAACTTAATTGCAAAAAGCAAGTGAAACAGCCGCAATATGACACAGGTAACAGGTGCAGCGCTGCTTGCAATTAAAAAATTAACATCGGTGTATTCATTCACACTTTATTATTGCCACTGAACATTGTAATATCCTTCAAGGATTAATATAATATTTTCTTATGTTTGAAATAAAAATTCTAATTGGGTGATACATTTAACCTGTAAAAACGGGGTACGGCTCTTTTAAGCTTCATGGACATATACAATATACGTGTTTTCAAGTAATATTCATCGATGGTTTATTGCAAAAAGCAAGGGAAAACTATTGCAATATGACAGATGCACAATTACAGGTAACAGATGCACAATTGCTTCTAATTAATAACGCGATGTTCATTCACATAGCAGCGCTCTGTAATGTTAAATGTAGCCTTGGAGGCTACTTTCAATTATTAAATAGAACACTGGGTTCTTTCATTGCCCTCGGGATGATATGTAGTTTATATCCGCAGCCGTGTTTCGTTACCTCGGCAACAGGAACTGCACGATGGACTTCCGGTTTTATGACATCACACAACCTACGTCATGGTTGAAATCTAGATCAACAACATCAGGGTCTAAAACATGCTAGTCATCTGTTGAGACAGAAAGATATCACAACCCAGGTGTGTTGGGCCAATGTTGGTATATGGTTATTTGTTGGCCAACAGTTTGACAACATTGGCCTAACGTTATCTTAATGACTTAAAAGTAGCGGTGGCTTTTGACACGTTGGTCCAACAGTGGGCCAACATTTGAAAAACTCAGCCTATTTTTCCCTGATCTTACATCTGTTTCATTGACAAAGTTGGGCCACCGTTGGCCCAACATTGTGAATAAAAGAGTGAGCACACGGCCATTTTAGCCATGTTTTCTTATCAAGATTTTGATGAAAGTTGAAATAATTACACAGACAAAAAGAAAGAATCCATTTCCCTGTCTTTCAACTATGATGCAGTGAATTTTACAGCGTTGTTTTCTCCAAATTGAATACCAAACTTGTCATCATTGATAGCTTTACCTGATATTCAAAGAGCAGACGACACTACATTTTCTGGAGGCCTTCAACTAGTAAATATGCATTGTTATCTGTGATACTTAATTGCGAATATATTGTGAAACAATTTGTTTAAATCATCATTTAGGCTAAAGAAACTGTCACATGCTGTATTGAAAGGCAAATTGTTTGAGTAGATAAAAGATTTAATTGACTCTTTTCTTTAGGGAACCTTGTTTTAACCATTTTGATAAATCTCAATCATTTTAAATTATTTAAATTTATTGTTTACTTCATTAACTTTATGTGTTTGTCAGTTACACTTCTGTTTCCATATACAACTCTCTATTATTCATCTTTACAACCAATAATTGCTAAACATCATCATATCAGATACTCAGTATATGTGTCCCAGTTATAGTAGTTACACGTCATATCCAAATAAAACATTGTTTGAACAGCATTCTAGAAGTTGGTTAGTCAAAATGAAACATACAACTCTATGGATGACAACTTCTTGTTTATTGTATAGAGCGACGTTTCGATGTAGATTCTTACACCGTTATCAAGCTAAAAGTGACTACAACCAAATGATGAGAAGTATATATACATGTACATAGTATGTTTTGTCAAATAAACATAATTGGGAGAGGCCAGTTGGGGACTAAGAACAACAAATGGATCTAGTGATGAAACCAATCAACAAGGGAGGGAGGGGGGGGGTGGGGTGTTAGGTTGTAACAACCTGATAGGGTGATTTGATAGAGTTAGTTCTTCATATCCCAATGGTATGTAGTATCCTTGGTCTCTATTGATCAAAGGTTTTGATTTGGTTGATTTTGATGGCTTTCCAAAAGTTTTCTTTGTGAAGTCCTGATTTTTGGTGGATAAGATTTCGAATTTGTCAAACCAGCCCCCTAAAAACTAAGTTTGGCGTCATCTCAACCCTGATTAAGCATTACTTAAGAACATTTGCTCCAGCAACCATGACCTAGAACATGAGCGGAACCACTCTACAACATGTCCTCACGAGCCTCAACCAGTAACCCACCAACTCATAGTCTGTTTGATTTCATTTGAGACCAAATGAATTGCTCACTGACACAAAATCTAATAATATACTTCTCATCATTTGGTTTTAGCTTGATAACAGTGTAAGAATCTACATCCGAACGTCACTCTGTGCAATAAACAAGAAGTTTTCAATAATTAAGTTGTATGTTTCAAATAAAACATAAGGTCAAATATTATGTCCTTTTACGTTCACTTGATTAACTTGTTGTGTTGTTTATATATGTTTTCTCATTGCAGAGGTCAGGAAAGAGCTAAATGTTGAAATACAGTTGTGCCAACATAAGGCCAACTAAATCACATAGTTGGGCCAAGTATGGGCCATGGTTTAGTACAAAGGTCAAGAAAGAGCTAAATGTTGTAACACGGTGGTACCAACATAAGGCCAACAAAATCACTACGTTGGGCCAACTATGGGCTATGGTTTTGTGTGAATTTTCATTCTGTTGGCCCAACAATGAGCCAACATGATGGGCCACTGTGGAGCCGATGAGTATATCCAAGTGGGCTCCATCGTCAGTTTGACAGCCATGGGCCAAACTAAAACCGGTCATTATGGGCCAACCATTGGCCAACATATCATTGCTGCTATCTGGGAAGCTATCATAACCTACGCCTGTCAGTACCAATTGACGTGTCTGGCAGTAGATTACCACTCTGCCACTATCGCATGGCATACTTTGACATGCTCACTACTTACATATTGTACCCGACAGAATGTTATGTATGGTGGCTGGGTAGGGGATGGGTGTAGGCTGCTGGAGTTGAGTAGGGATGGGTGTAGGCTGCTGGAGCTGAGTAGGGATGGGTGTAGGCTGGCTGGAGCTGAGTAGGGATGGGTATAGGCTGCTAGAGCTGAGGAGAGCATGAGTATGAGAACATTGTGAATAAAAGAGTGAGCACACGGCCATTTTAGCCATGTTTTCTTATCAAGATTTTGATGAAAGTTGAAATAATTACACAGACAAAAAGAAAGAATCCATTTCCCTGTCTTTCAACTATGATGCAGTGAATTTTACAGCGTTGTTTTCTCCAAATTGAATACCAAACTTGTCATCATTGATAGCTTTACCTGATATTCAAAGAGCAGACGACACTACATTTCTGGAGGCCTTCAACTAGTAAATATGCATTGTTATTTCTGTGATAATTTAATTGCGAATATATTGTGAAACAATTTGTTTAAATCATCATTTAGGCTAAAGAAACTGTCACATGCTGTATTGAAAGGCAATTGTTTGAGTAGATAAAAGATTTAATTGACTCTTTTCTTTAGGGGAACCTGTTTTAACCATTTTGATAAATCTCAATCATTTTAAATTATTTAAATTTATTGTTTACTTCATTAACTTTATGTGTTTGTCAGTTACACTCTGTTTCCATATACAACTCTCTATTATTCATCTTTACAACCAATAATTGCTAAACATCATCATATCAGATACTAGTATATGTGTCCCAGTTATAGTAGTTACACGTCATATCCAAATAAAACATTGTTTGAACAGCATTCTAGAAGTTGGTTAGTCAAAAATGAAACATACAACTCTATGGATGACAACTTCTTGTTTATTGTATAGAGCGACGTTTCGATGTAGATTCTTACACCGTTATCAAGCTAAAAGTGACTACAACCAAAATGATGAGAAGTATATAGACATGTACATAGTATGTTTTGTCAAATAAACATAAATGGGAGAGGCCAGTTGGGGACTAAGAACAACAAATGGATCTAGTGATGAAACCAATTAACAAGGAAGGGAGGGGAGGGGGTGGAATGTTAGGTTGTAACAACCTGATAGGGTGATTTGATAGAGTCTATAGTTTGATTAGTTCTTCATATCCCAATGGTATGTAGTATCCTTGGTCTCTATTGATCAAAGGTTTGTGGCGGCTGATTTTGATGGCTTCCAAAAGTTTTCTTTGTGTGAAGTCCTGATTTTTGGTGGATAAGATTTCGAATTTGTCAAACCAGCCCCCTAAAACTAAGTTTGGCGTCATCTCAACCCTGATCAAGCACACTAAGAACATTTGCTCCAGCAGCCATGACCTAGAACATGAGCGGAACCACCTACAACATGTCTTCACGAGCCTTAACCAGTAATCCACCAACACATAGTCTGTTTGATTTCATTTGAGACCAATGAATTGCTCACTAACACAAAATCTAATAATATACTTCTCATCATTTGGTTTTAGCTTGATAACAGTGTAAGAATCTACATCCGAACGTCACTCTGTGCAATAAACAAGAAGTTTTCAATAATTAAGTTGTATGTTTCAAATAAAACATAAGGTCAAATACTATGTCCTTTTACGTTCACTTGATTAACTTGCTGTGTTGTTTATATATGTTTCTCATTGCAGAGGTCAGGAAAGAGCTAAATGTTGAAATACAGTTGTGCCAACATAAGGCCAACTAAATCACATAGTTGGGCCAAGCATGGGCCATGGTTTAGTACAAAGGTCAAGAAAGAGCTAAATGTTGAAACACGGTGATGCCAACATAAGGCCAACAAAATCACTACGCTGGGCCAACTATGGGCTATGGTTTTGTGTGAATTTTCATCTGTTGGCCCAACAATGAGCCAACATGATGGGCCACTGTGGAGCCGATGAGCATATCCAAGTGGGCCCATCGTCAGTTTGACAACCATGGGCCAACCAAACCGGTCATTATGGGCCAACTATTGGCCAACATATCATTGCTATCTGGGAAGCTATCAAAACCCACGCTCGTCAGTACTAATTAACGTGTCTGGCAGTAGATTACCACTTGCCACTATCGCATGGCATACTTTGACATGCTCACTACTTACATATTGTACCCGACAGAATGTTATGTATGTATGGTGGCTGGGTAGGGGATGGGTGTAGGCTGCCAGGAGCTGAGAAGGGATGGGTGTAGGCTGCCAGGAGCTGGAGTAGGGATGGGTGTAGGCTGCACAGAGCTGAGTAGGGGATGGGTGTAGGCTGCTAGAGCTGAGTAGGGATGGGTGTAGGGCTGGAGCTGGAGTAGGGATGGGTGTAGGCTGCTAGAGTTCAGTAGGGATGGGTGCAGGCTGCTGCAGCTGAGTAGGGGATGGGTGTAGGCTGCTAGAGAGCTGAGTAGGGATGGGTGTAGGCTGCCAGAGCTGAGTAGGGGATGGGTGTAGGCTGCTGGAGCTGAGAAAGGGATGGGGTGTAGGCTGCCTAGGAGCTGAGAGTAGGGGATGGGGTGTAGGCTGCCAGAGCTGAGTAGGGGATGGGTGTAGGCTGCTGGAATTGAGTAGGGGATGGGTGTAGGCTGCCAGGAGCTGAGCAGGGATGGGTGTGTAGGCTGCCAGGAGCTGAGCAGGGATGGGCAGAGGCTGCTGGAGCTGAGAGAGGGATGGGTGCAGGGCTGCTGGAGCTGAGTAGGGATGGGTGTAGGCCGCTGGAGCTGAGTAGGGGATGGGTGTAGGCTGCTGGAGCTGAGCAGGGGATGGGGTGTAGGCCGCTAGAGCTGAGAAAGGGATGAGTGTAGGCTGCTGGAGCTGAGTAGGGGATGGGTGTAGGCTGTTGGAGTTAAGAAAGGGGATGAGTATACTGTATAGGCTGCTAGAGCTGAGTGAGTGAGTGAGTTTAGTTTTACGCCTCACTCAGCAATATTCCAGCTATATGGCGGCGGTCTGTACTAGTCTGGACCAGACAAACCAGTGATCAACATCATGAGCATCGATCTGTGCAATTATGAACCGATGACATGTGTCAACCAAGCCAGCGAGCCTGACCACCCGATCCCGTTAGTCGCCTCTTACGACAAGCATGGGTTACTCAAAGTTCATGCTGTACCGGACCTTCACGAGTTGCTAGAGCTGAGAAGGGGATGAGTATAGGCTGCTGGAGGTGAGGTGAGGTGAGGTGAAATTGGGTTTAATGTCGTGCTTGAGAAATATTTCGCTCATATGACGACGTGCATGCGTGTATGTGTATGTGCGGCTGCTTGTACTAGCACAGACTTAAGCTGGTTTTATAGTTACAGCCCACTGAGATACCATGCCGCAGTGAAGCATGAATACCCCACTCAGACACATTATACTGACTCCGAGCCGACCAGTCCTTTGTTGTACCCATTAATGCCGAGCTCCAGGCAGGGACCAACAAGTACCATATTTTAACGTCTTATGGTAAGACGTGGTCGGGGATCGAACCCGCGACCTTCCTCTTCCGGGCGGACGCTCTTAAACTTCATCACACTTCACGGAGGCGGTCCCAGGCTGCTAGAGCTGAGAAAGGGATGAGTATAGACTGCTAGAACTGAGAAGGGATGAGTATAGACTGCTCAAGAACTGAGAAAGGGATGAGTATAGACTGCTAGGAACTGAGAAAAAGGGATGATTATAGACTGCTTGAACTGAGAAGGGGATGAGTATAGACTGCTAGAACTGAGAAAGGGATGAGTATAGACTGCTAGAGCTGAGAAGAGGGGATGAGTATAGACTGCTAGGAACTGAGAAAGGGATGAGTATAGACTGCTAGAACTGAGAAGGGATGAGTATAGGCTGCTAGAGCTGAGAAAGGGATGAGTATAGACTGCTAGAACTGAGAAGGGATGAGTATAAGCAAGCTGGAACTGAGAAGGGATGAGTATAGGCTGAAGCTGAGAAGGGGATGAGTATAGGCTGCTAGAGCTGAGAAGGGGATGAGTATAGGCTGCTGGAGCTGAGAAGGGGATGAGTATAGACTGCTAGAGCTGAGAAGGGGATGAGTATAGGCTGCTAGAGCTGAGAAGGGGATGAGTATAGGCTGCTAGAGCTGAGAAGGGGATGAGTATAGGCTGCTGGAGCTGAGAAGGGGATGAGTATAGACTGCTAGAGCTGAGAAGGGGATGAGTATAGGCTGCTGGAACTGAGAGAAGGGGATGAGACATAGACTGCCTTAGAGCTGAGAAGGGGATGAGTATAGGCTGCTAGAGCTGAGAAGGGGATGAGTATAGGCTGCTAGAGCTGTGAAGGGGATGAGTATAGGCTGCTAGAGCTGAGAAGGGGATGAGTATAGGCTGCTGGAGCTGAGAAAGGGGATGAGTATAGGCTGCTAGAGCTGAGAAGGGGATGAGTATAGGCTGCTAGAGCTGAGGAGAGGGGATGAGTATAGGCTGCTAGAGCTGAGAAAGGGGATGAGTATAGGCTGCTAGAGCTGAGAAAGGGGATGAGTATAGGCTGCTAGAGCTGAGAAGGGGATGAGTATAGGCTGCTAGAGCTGAGAAGGGGATGAGTATAGGCTGCTAGAGCTGAGAAGGGGATGAGTATAGACTGCTAGAGCTGAGAAGGGGATGAGTATAGGCTGCTAGAGCTGAGAAGGGGATGAGTATAGACTGCTGGAGCTGAGAAGGGGATGAGTATAGGCTGCTGGAGCTGAGAAGGGGATGAGTATAGGCTGCTGAGTATAGATGAGAAGGGATGAGTATAGGCTGCTAGAGCTGAGAAGGGGATGAGTATAGGCTGCTAGAGCTGAGAAGGGGATGAGTATAGACTGCTGGAGCTGAGAAGGGGATGAGTATAGGCTGCTAGAGCTGAGAAGGGGATGAGTATAGGCTGCTAGAGCTGAGAAGGGGATGAGTATAGGCTGCTGGAGGTGAGAAGGGGATGAGTATAGGCTGCTAGAGCTGAGAAGGGGATGAGTATAGGCTGCTGGAGCTGAGAAGGGGATGAGTATAGGCTGCTAGAGCTGAGAAGGGGATGAGTATAGGCTGCTAGAGCTGAGAAGGGGATGAGTATAGGCTGCTAGAGCTGAGAAGGGGATGAGTATAGGCTGCTGGAGCTGAGAAGGGATGAGTATAGGCTGCTGGAGCTGAGAAGGGGATGAGTATAGGCTGCTAGAGCTGAGAAGGGGATGAGTATAGGCTGCTAGAGCTGAGAAGGGGATGAGTATAGGCTGCTGGAGCTGAGAAGGGGATGAGTATAGGCTGCTGGAGCTGAGAAGGGGATGAGAAGGCATTGGCAGTGATTGATTTATCCTACACATTGGGTCTGTCTGACACAGAGAGCATAGCATACTTCTAGTATTGACGTCGTGGCACCTCGTGAAGTAGTAGATGTCTATGTGCATTAAAATTTTCACGAACCAGGTGACGCCATTGAAACAATCCATGTGATAGCTTCAAACGTTATTTTCACTTTTATTTGAAAGAAACCATTTGATACGGAGAACTTAATAATCAAATATTCCGTCAATATGAGCTCTCCCGACAGGTTCATGTCCATTTTTGTTCTCACGTTGTAGTGAGTGAGTGAGTCGGGTTTATCGCCACTCTGACCAGTATTTCAGTAATATCATGACTTGCTTGCTTGATCCGGGTGGAACGCCTTAGACATTTAACTAGTTTGGTTATAGCCATGAGCGCGAATGCGTTGCTAAGAAACCGAAAAACGTACGAGGACGGACTGGGATTCGAACCCATGATCATGGGTTTCCGCCACCCACAAGGAACGTATTTCTGGACAGAGATTTTAGGCGCCTAAACAACTTGGCCATCACTTTCCCGCAATAGTTGTAACTATGGGCTGCCCGTGAAGATCCGGGTTAGAAATGGTCTTGAGCAACCCATGCTTGACGTAAGAGGCGACTAACGGGATCGGTGGTCAGACTCGCTGACTTGGTTGACACATGTCATCGTTCCCAGCTGCGCAGATCGATGCTCATGCTGTTGATCACTGGATTGTCTGGTCCAGTCACGATTATTTACAGACCGCCGCCATATAGCTGGAATATTGCTGAGTGCGGCGTAAAACTAAACTCACTCACTCACTCTGGTCCAGACTCGATTATTTACAAACCGCCGCCATATAACTGGAAACTTGCTGAGTGCGTCTTTAAACAACAAACAAACACAATGTAACCATGGACACAATATCAATACAGTTATGCAAACAAAAAGAGCAAATATTTGTATGCTGTTGTAACAACGCAGAATCTGTCTCCATCAGTGCTATAGTTTCAGAATCATTACTGAACGTCTTCACTGCAATCAGCACTACCCTAACAACAAAATGGCGTCCTGTAAATAGCGGACGTAACTATAGAGAGAGAAGTAAATATAGAGAGAAGTAAATATAAAGAGAGTTTGTTTGATTTTTACACACTAAGCTGAATACAAACCGATTTAAATGAAACACTGTCTCATCAATCTTGCTCCACCCACGCCCACCCTCGCCACTGTCGGGTGTGTGTCGGAACGACGTCGGCCGCCATCAATATTCTGATTGTTGCGTGCACTCCCCTCATCGCTTCCCATGGACAGGCACAGCTGACAGTGTCAGTGATTCATCCACGTAGCATGTATACATACCATCTCATCACAATCAACAGATTAGAATGCACTAGGATTAGCTGGCTGTGTTTAAAATGAATTCCAGAGTTACGTCCAGCTCAGCATATTATATAGGCTCCTTATTGATGAAATCGTTGATGGCTAACTGTGAGCTGAGAAGGGTCCTAGTCAAAATGGCAAATATTAAATAAGTAACAATCTCAAAGTATCAATTAAGAAAGCATTTCAAGAACAATATTCACTAATATGAAAAAGAAATAATAATGTATGGCCATTTTGACTTTTTCTATGGCCATTTTGACTTTTTGGTATGGCTATTTTGACTAGGAGTTGTGGCCATTTTGACTAGGGTCAGTGTGGCCATTTTGATTCCCGCTGAGAATATGTGCCACTCTATGACGGTGTGGGGTCGAAAGTCCCGGATGGGATTCAACCCGATATAGTTCTACAATCTGTACCTCCCTGACAGTGTAATTTTACTGTCACTTCTCGAAAACACGCTCTGTTTCCTGAGTGAGTGAATGAGTTTAGTTTTACGCCGCACTCAGCAATGTTCCAGCTATATGGCGGCGGTCTGTACATAATCGAGTCTGGACCAGACAATCCAGTGATCAACAGCATGAGCATCGATCTGCGCATTTGGGAACCAATGACACGTATCAACCAAGCCAGCGAGCCTGACCACCCGATCTCGTTACTCGCCTCTTACGACAAGCATGGGTTACTGAAGGTACATTCTAACCCGGACCTTCACGGGTCTGTTTCCTGAGAAGCGGGGTAAGGTAGATGAGGTCACGTGAGATGACGTTGACAAGAGGAGCAACGTAATATGTATTTTATTGAATCCTTTTTTCCAGGAATCATTCTTTTTCGAACAAATATACAAAATACCTACACGCTTCTCCTCTTTTCGAATCCCACTTACCCCTCTCCCAACAGTGGTTGGGCCACAGGAAGGTGCAGTGTTAGTCTGTCCAGAGACAATATAATAAATGGTCTCAGGTCTGTCTTACAGCCCCTGAACCACATCATTTTCTCTTTCTGTATGTAGTGCCCTGAATGAAGCAAGTCTAGATTCTAAATCTCCCTGGACTCCTTTTCAAATTAAAAGGAATTATTTGGATCTCCAATCTCCAAAATTATATATGTTAAGAGGATAAGCCTTAGTTTAGTGCAGTGTGACCCTAGGTCAACGAGTCTACAGCCATTTCACGGCCAGTGTAAGATCCTTGGACCATAACAAGAACACCCCATCTCTACCTTATAGCTTCAGCTTGTAGCAACGATATCCAGCAGCGTATTACAAGCCCCCAAATCTGTCTCACAGTTGCCGAGCGGTAACATGTTTCCCTCCGCACCATTTACTATAACGCAAAAGATCTGAATGAAGCACGTCTACATTTTCTTCATGTTCATTGCGGCTCTTTTCCAATTTAAATGGAGTTGTAAGTTTCTACCAATTTCTATATTTTCAGTGACAAAGCCTTAATCTCTTTAAGCCAATATGCATGTATA